CTTTTATGATAGAATAATGTTCAAACGAGCATGCTGGATGGTAAGCGATCATCGCCACCCATTAACACCCGCAACATTAAGGTGTTATAAGTACGGTCGTTTTTTAGGGGCTAAAGGAATTTGAGGATTTGGGGATAGGAAGATGGGGGAGAGGATGACGGATTTAACTTTTATTATTAACACTACAAACAAGGCCAGAGAGCTTATAATTCTGAGCGTTATTGTACATAGGTACGACAAACGATGCAGCAATCGTTATGCAGTCAACTGACTATGAACCCCTGAGATGGCTCATAGTGAAGTGACGTCGTTTAATACATGAATCATCCAAACAACATACCTAATTTTATGTCTCTATAATAATAATATACATAAAATAAAACAACAACAAACTCAAAACAGATATATTTCCAATCCAACAGAAAATGTTTCCAGAAGAAGTCTTGAAGGAACCAGCGGTGCGGGACGCGTTCAGAAAGGCTTTAGACATGATGAATAGGAGCGCAGACATCGACGCCGTGGAACCACCTCCTCCACCTCGGTTCACGATGCCAGAACCCAAGGAAACTTCGAGAATAGCCGACGTTATTGCCTCAAGTGCTCCCGCAAAGAGTTTCTCAGAGTTATTAGAAACAAGATGTATAGAAAAAGGGATAACTTTCGTGCCTATAGCTGGTAAAACTAGGGAAGGGAGACCTATATATAAGATTGGAGAGCTCCAGTGCTACGTCATACGTAATGTTATCATGTTTTCCGATGATAACGGGAGGATCTTCAGCCCTATCAGTATGGAGAAACTATTGAATATGGTTGAGTGAAATAGAAATAAAATAATTTTATTTACTTTTTTGGTTTCATTGAAGGTGTTGATCGAGTGATTGCTAACGCTGAAATACTCAAACGTCACTTGATTTTAAGTCGCGTTGAAGTATGGTTCTGGTTCCTATAAATCTATATACATAAATGAAAAACGTTTCCCGTTGTCACGCCATAACTTGAGAACCGATTTGGCTGATCTTTTTTTGTTGTGTTTGTTATTATCAAGAGAAGGTTCTTACGACAGAATGATCCGAATGATGAATAGTGAAAATCCTACGGGAACGGGAGAAACGGGATTGCGCGTACGAAGTCGCGGGCAGAAGCTAGTTATTAATAAAACGACAGAGATGGCACTTTACGGGTCGATTTAAAATTGAGCCGTCTTTCAGTATTCGGGCTTAAGTCCTTATAATTTATTTATTCGCAAATATGTATAGGTAAAACTATATAGTGATGAATGGTTTTTGAATTTTGAATGACTAATAAGTTCTCCATGTTTAACTATGAAGTGGTTGGGTATGATGCCTGAGTTAGGTAAAGTCTATAAAGTATTATTCGATTTTTCAGTTTCCAAAATTCTCAATAACCAAGTAAATACGAAGACATCTGCTTACCTATTTAATATCGCGTGATTATCATCAAGAGCCTGTGACAACTTACTATTGAGTTTTATGTCTCATATAAGGAAGAGGTTTGCTGTAATCACCACGCTTGGTAACGTTTATAGAGATTGCAGTTTAACATTTCTATTTAATGTCTAGTAGATCCTGAAGCTCAGAGCACACCTAACAGTAACGAGCACGGCTCAATCACGACTCCGGCACGGCGTTTTTTTCTTTAGAAACAATACAAAAAGGTTGGTAGTGTACCGACGGCGCGCTTACAGAGGCCTTAGTACGAGTTCGTGTCCTCAGGGAAGTGATCGGCGATGGCGACCTCTCGCGTCCGGGCCTAATGCAGGCCATGATGCGGAGCGAGGGGGACTGGGATGCCGTCTCCTCCTTCTGCGAAGCAGTCATGCTAGCTAAGGAGGAGGCGGGACGCGTGAGGCAGCGAAGCGCTGCCTCCTCGCAACCCAGCCATCGCGAAGGACACACCGGGCGTCGGGGATCGCGGGACGATCTCCGGCCACCGTAAGCGCGGGCCTGCGGACGGCGAGCATGGGTGGCTCCCCGTCCGACCAGAAACAGACCCGAGCGTACGGCGCGTCGCGTTCCGCGCGCGCCTCAAAGAGCCATCAGACCACCACAGATGGGGCCCAATAGGGCCGATGCCGATTCGGAGTCGCGGAGAACCTAACGGGTAACCGGGGCTCCGGCTCGACGTGCAGGAGAAGGAACGGGGTGGTTTTTAGTCAGTAAGAGTCTGACACTCCCTTCCGCCTCACCCAGGCGGGAGCAGTCATTCGATGATTTTCCCCCCTTAAAAAAAAAAGTATGAGTTTCATTTACGTTTACAGTATTCGAAACGAGTACGCGTTCGGCAATCTGATTGGCCGGGGCCAATGAACCAACCAATCAGAGCGCTGAACGCGTACTCGTTGCGATTACTTTAAACGTAGACAAACTCGTACTCAGGCCTCAGCTTTGTATTGACTTTATGAAATACCTATGTCATACGACACACGAATTAAAGTTCATATTTAAATGACAAAGACATTGCTGGGTTGGAGATGTGCCGGAGCCGTTGTTTGTTAGGTGTGCGATGAGTGCGATGACCTCTAGTCGGGTATATGATACCCGCGGGAAGAGTCGAGGTTGTTAACTGCTGACAATTATATTTTTTTTTCTACCGTCACTACACGGCGTACCAGACCGATGCGACGTCATTACTTGTGTATATTTTATTGGCGACAACTTGTCTTTAATCAATTTATATTGTTGCCAAGATTATATCTCAGTGTTGGCACGATTTTGAATCCTATAGTCAACGCCAAAGGTTGTTGTTCTGTTGCGTCATTTCTTTATTGGCTTATTGACAAGTTCCGTGTGTTGGTAATGATCTTCCTTTTGATGAAATAAATATGTACGTCTATACATGAACTAGAGAGTACTTACCAGATCTAAATTGTATAGTGAATTTGTACATAATATAGGTACCTACGTGTAATCTCCAACCTGTTTGCCAAGCGGGGCGATAAACGATAAAGCCCCTTCAGTAGGAGAGGCCCTCCTGCAGTGGATTGTCACCAGGTCATGATGGTGAACAGTACCGTCTTTATCATAACGGCACTCGGGGCCCTTACCCAGGGCCCCCAACCTCGGGCCCCGTAGGGCCTACAGTTTCTAAGACGGATACAATCCCGCCACACGTGTAGCGGTTTCGATTCCCGCATGAAGCAAATCTTTGCGTGTAAACAAATTGTTGTTCCGGGTCTGGGTGTCATGTGAATGTGAACTTGTATGTTTGTAAATGCACCCACGATATAGAAGAAAATCCTAGTGTGGGGAAACGTTAAAAAAAAAGAAACATTCCAAAAAGTCTCTGAATATTGTGTGCTCAACCAAGAGCCCCAGCGTAGTCTAAGACGGTCCTGGTGGTGTAAGGGTATCCATACCTAATACAAGTAGCGTCACTTATTTTCAACCGACTTCAAAAAAAGGAGGAGGTTCTCAATTCGACTGTATTTTTATTCGAATAATTTTTAGTCGTAACATTGAAGAATCTCATTGGACAAGAGGGTTTAAAAAATAAAAGAAAAGCAATTATAGTCAGGAAATATTTAATAAAATATCGTGCAAGGACAACACAATTACATGCGTGCATGCAAACTAAACTACAGTCTAATTTTCTACATTATTTATAGTTACTTGGACTGACAAATCAAAGGACTGAGAAATTGTGACATTTACATTTTCTAATAGAGTCGAAAATCCATTGAAAACAATAATAGATTGGAGTAGGTTGACGTTTCGTAGCCACTGCCATCTAGTTTCAGTCCATGTTACTACAAAAATTCTACAATGCAAACTATAACTACAGGCTAACTACATAGGTATTATATTTGAATATCAAGTAAAATGATATGGTACTACGAATTAATAGGTAGGTACGTATGTTGAATGAACACAAAATATTGTTAGCATAATGACTTAGTTATACAGGGTGGAATTAACAGTTCGTCGCTAAATTAAAATAATGCATCAAATAAACAAATAGGTACAATAAGATTGTAGAATACCCAAGAAATTATTTTTGTTATACCTAGGTACCTACAGCATATTATTGTACCTGTTCGATCAGGTAACTCGATTAGTTCAAAACCACATTAGGATTTCATATTCATGATCAGTATGTGCGATTACCGGCGTGCTACTGTTAATAAGCTGCTCATGAGCTGACTAAAGACCCCAGGCATGGCTTGAAATTAGTCGAGATAGGTATCTCGACGAGGTCGTCGAACGGTTAAGTAAGTAGGTAAACCGTAAAAATTAATTTAGTAATAATATTTGTATCAGAAGATTTAATTTTGCGGCAAAATGTTCAAGCCACCTTCGTTTTATAGTACTGGCAAAGATATAGGCACTTAACTAAGTATATGTTAGTATTCTGCTGGATAGGTATCTAAAATTGCTAGGAATGAATTTAACTAGGATTCCTGCTTCCTCATTTTAATAATCAATTTCTCGTAAATGGACGATCATAATATGAAATTTAATTTAGTAATATTACATTATATTGTGGGAGTCGACAAACGCAGTCCTATAGTTTGCAATAAACAAGACAATTCATAATTATTACAATTATTAGCCCCTGCTCCTTTCCTATTTAACCCACGTCAAGTCTTATCGTGGGTTAAATTTAAAGGAAAATCAGGTACGCTGTATTCACCGTCTATTGAGAAATGTGAATAGCTTATTAACAAGGAAATCCTTACAAAAACATTCCTAGCTCTTGTTAGAACTACAAACAACTGTTGGTACTGTTACACATTCTAATTTCAAGCATGAAAGCATGCTTCAATTGAACACTTGTCACTTAATAGCATGTGTGTCGTGATGGTCAAAATTAGCACGCTCATTTCAGGTAGATCGACAGGCATTCGACTTTTGAACATTTTTTGAGCATCTATGTATTCATATAATAAAATCTCAGGAATGTCATAACTGTACATTGAATTTCTATCTTAATTTGCAATCGATATCGATGCTATAAATATAGTTTAAAAAATATTTGTCTGTTAGTATGCCTGGGCTAAAATTAATAGGACTGGATGAATTTACTTCAAATTTTGCATGAATATTGCTTACAGGCCGGGTCAATATATAGGCTACATATTATCACTTTAAAACCTACATGGGAGGAGCTGTAAAGAACTATTCCACGCGGACGAAGTCGCGGGTATAGCTAGTAATTATAATAAAATCGTAGGAAAGTCAAAACTGTATATTGAATTGATTTCTTATCTGCAATCAATATAGATACTAAAAATGTAGTTTATAGAACTTTAGTCTGTTTGTATGTCCGGGCTAAACTCAACAATTACTAGATGGATTTACTTTAAATTTTGCATGAATATTGCTTAGAGGCCGGGTCAACATATAGGCTGTATTATCACGCTATTACTTACATGGGAGGAGCTGTGGAGACCTATCCAAAGTGACTAATTGCGGGCACAGCTAAGTACTCAATAGAACGCCTTTTAACATATTATTTAGAGAATATGTAACAGTACCTTTATGTATGAGGTAGTTAGTAACACGCATAAGTAAAGTGCGATTACATAAATGTGACAGAGTTATAATATCGGCACATATTGTTCAATATAATATCGACCTTGAGCCTTGTTAGCGCAGTAATATAGATATTATAGTTTAAGTCAACTTGTACTGGTTACTTAGTATGCAAATGAATATAGATTCACGAATGATTTCGTTAAAGTCCATTATTCTTTGATTTAGTTTGAGAGTACCAGTCTAGTTTGACGTCAAAATTAGGCTGTATTTGCTTCAAGAAATAAGTTTTAATTGAAGATAAATTTTCAAAAATGTTAGTTTTAGATATTAGTTTTTAAATTAAATCAGGTAGCTAAAGTGTTGCCAGGTGGGTATATTTTTGGCAAGAATGTTTTTTCAAAATTTGTGACTAGTTACAAATAGTAGTTTAGTTTTTAAAAGTAATAAATTCGTTATTTTACCCTTTACCTTAAGTTAAGTTTCAGCGTTTCGTTTCGTGGCTTATAAACAGCCATGACACTCAAAAAAAATAAGTAAAACTTATGAAAAATTAAAAAGTATTGAATATATAATCGATTAGATTACGATGATCAAAATTCTTTGCTTGAAGTAACATGGTAAAATTAAGTATTAATTGTTTTACGTTGTAGAAGATATTTTGTAAATTTAACGCGTTTGCTGTATCCTAATCTTTATCAATGGGACTCGACAAACATTTTGTGACTAAGTATAACCATAAAATTGAAAAAGAAAATAACATTTATTGAGCGTCAAGTAGGTAGGGAAACTCGGTACTCAAATATCTTTATAGTTATAGTTACATATACAACTCTTTCGTTGCTGAGTGACTGACTGATAGACATAGTACAGACGAAACTAGCCTAAAACTAGGAAGCTAAAACTTAGCATGTATTTTCCTTGGGGAGTCTAGGGGATCATTAAAAGTGAATTTCCTTGAATACTCACGGCAACCACCTACTTGTGCGTATGAAGTCGTTGGCAGAAATCTAGTATTAGATAATATTGTAGATGCAACCAATACATCAAAATATCAGTACAAACAAATATATATGAGTAGGTAGGTACCCTCAGTGTCCCTATTTGACGCAAACAACTAGGCTTATCTGTAAAATGTCAATTCGAATTTTGAACTCTCAAAGTGAGCTCGATCGCGGTGCGCCATGGCATTGGTTGCAAGAATAATCTCGACCAATCACGGGCGAGAATGCGATTGAGCTCAATTACACACACACACACACACTCAACAGAATACCCTAGATGTACCTAATTTGTAAGTAACCAATTTTCAATCAGGACAATCAGCAAACGCGTTAAATTCCATGAAATTAAATCATGCCATGCTGACTTTGGTACCGGTAGGCACGATAGGTCTGCACACCATTGGCCAGACCCAGCATGAAGTTGCAAATAGCGAGAGAATAGTTTATAGGAATGATGACCAGACAATATCGAGTCCAGATCAGCCCCGTAGCGGAGAGAGAAGCCGATTGACTGACGGACACCTTGTCCAGAGGTCGGGTGTAAGCGTCCAGCGAAGCTGCTACCAGAGCCTGCAAACATCGCCAGAATAGTGTTAAATAGATTAAACCAAGATTAAGAATAGTGCTCATGGAGATGGCGTTGCGTTGACGCAAAGTTTCCAGTCTTAATTTTTGTAGTTTACAGTTAGCCAAGTTATGTGGGCAGGCAAAAATAAAGATAGATTCAGAAAGTTAATAGTGATCTCGATCTTGTGTCAGAAGTCAACTAGTCTGACTTACGGTAAAATGGGGTGAATAGGGTTTGAACGGCGAAAAGGGACAGAAGGTGAATCGATACTATGAAGAATTTCCTTATATCTATTCACCCCTCTTCTGTCCCTATTCACCTCTCGATACCTATTCACCTCATTTTACGTTACTGTTTCTGTCCTGCATTTTTGTTTTCTCCTTTTTTGTTTTAAAGCGTTGCTTTACACTAGGATTTTCTCCTGTCGTGGGTGCGCTTACAAACTTACAAGTTCACATGCACATCACACCCAGACTCGGAACAACAATCTGTGGATCACACAAAGAGTTGTTCCGTGCGGTATTGATTGCGTGGCAGCCAGTTTCCTAACCACCGCACGAGCTATGCAGCAACTTTGCTGTACCTACTTCATTTTTTACCTAATCATCTTTAGTTTGTATCCGTATTAACTCGTCGAGTACCGGTTTTGCAGACACAATTATAGAACAATAGGTTGCGGTCACCGGTGACCGCTTGGTGTTTGACAGTTTAAGGCTTCTATTTCAAATTTGCATCAACGTTTACCTCTCAATCTAAAGCACTATCCTTCTTCATCCCTTTAACACACAACACACACAATATTAATATAGATAGCTTATGGTATCAATTTGTTAGATCGGTGCCCATTTATCTAAGAAGATACCTACCCCCATACAATTTTCTACGGCTTGTACGTAGGTACCCAAATGCGTTCTGATAATGCCACATTAGTTTCTTGAGTTCTTAGGTACCAATATACCTACAAACCTGGCCATGTCCAACACGGAAAAAAGTTTCCACATTTCCTTGAATATTTTTTTTTATTATTTCAAGCAGACGTCACAATAAAACCTAGTTATAGATAGATGTACACCTCTAAACCCACTCAGGTATGATAAACTGATGATACAGTAGGTACCTGTCTACAATTTAAACGAAGACAATTTGTTTTTAAAGATTATAAGTAGCGGGTTACAAAATAATTTATTTGCTCATACCATGCAACATGCAATGAGCAGTAGGCATTAAAACGAAGCCTGAAAACATGCATGCAACAGACTCAAGCAAGCATAGGTACTTAGGTAGTAATAATTACCTACAGTAGGAGACTACAGTCAGCACCGTTATTTGTTAAGCAGGTAAGAAAATAAAGACTGAATCCGTTCAGGGCTCGTACACAAAACTGCGATGCGACGTCGCATCACAAAAATGTGCGAGCTCCCTCTACGCATCGCAAGAACTTGTGAATTGATTTGCATCGCGCATCAAAACTTTATACCTGTATCTCCTAAGCAATAACAGAAGTGCTCACTTCTTTTTACGATCCATGTGACGACCAACTTTTCAATTTAAATAAAATACGTTTAGCGTCACCCTGGGAGATCCCGGCTGTCGCACGAAATAGCATCGGAGCAATTCGCATCGCAGTTTTGTGTACGACCCCAGAGACAGAAATTGATAATTTTTAACCAAAACTATATTTTTTTATAACCATTGTTCGATTCAAATAGGCTATTCTGTAAGATATTAATTTGAACTCTCGAATTGAGCTCGATCGCATTCTCGGCCGTCATTGGTCGAGAATATGCTCACAACCAATAACATGGCGGACCGCGATCGAGCTCACTTCGAGAGTTCAAATTGACATCTTACGGAAGAACCTAGCAGTAGACAAAGAATGGCTACTGTTTCTGTAGGTAGCTAGGTACTGAATCAATCTTTATGTTTGTAGTTCATAGCTGCATATCAAATAATTGTGTTGATACATCATCAGAAAATACTTACGTGGGTGCTACAAACGGAGTGACCTCCTCCACAATAATTTTGGTTCCAAGTTACAAAAAGAAAAATGATATGTATCTATGACAAAATAAAAGAAGAGATTGATTTGACACATTCCAATAACGTTTAGTTAGGGGCTTCGCACATTAGTCGTGGAAGACTTAACGGGTTATCGAGGCTCCGGTTTGAAGAGTAGGAGTAGGAACGGGTTGGTTTTTAGTCAATAAAAGTCTGACACTCTCTCTTGCCTCAAGCAAGGTGGGTAGTCATTAAAATATGATGTCGCGCCTTCAAAAAAGAAAATAGGTACCTACGCAGTGTCTCGAACAAATACGTGTGAACATGTGCGACGTGCCTGTGGTTAGGTACTAAGAGCTTGTCCAAAAAAGGCGAATTTGCCGCGATTCTCCTGCGCGTTTTACGCGCGACCGTTGCGTCCACAAGGTATGTGCCAACGCACGAGCGTTTGGGGCGGAATTCATTCAGTACGAAACATGAAGTTAAACGCTCGCTCTAAAGTTCGTGCGTTAACTGGACGGAACAAGGCGTCTCTAGTATCTCAACTCACGCGCAATACCTGCGAATTAAGCGCGAGTCGAGAGTCTGGCGTAGTGCAAGCGATTTACGCGTGCGCGTATTTTTGAATTCGCGCGATGCTTGTGGACGCGATTGTATTGTTGTCTAGTATCTCACTAACGCGCGAATCATTTCGTGCGAATCGTTTCGCGACGAATTCGCCCTTTGTGGACAAGGTCTTACGAATACAAATGTATGTACGTATATTATGTGTAGGTATATTAGCTTTTTATATTTAATAGCTTTATTGAGGTCAAATAATGAGGTACCTAGGTACCCAGGTAAGTGTATAATCATAATAATAGGCAAGTTAATATATAAGATAGGTTCTACAATAACTAAAAAAAAACACGAAGTAAAAAAACGTGTATTGCAACGTAAATCAATAAAACCTAGGTACATACTTTTATGAAATAAATACCTACTGTGAGCGTAAAAATACATAGGTATATATAATAAAAGGACTGACAACTGAGTCAGTCTTTTACGTTGGCAAAATGTTTCCAAAAAAACAGAAAAAGCACATTTTTATGGTTAGTATAAATACCTATAAGTACCTAGTAGCCGTACCTACTAAACGCAAAAAAAATAAAGCCACAAAGCTTTGTTGTAAAGTATGTTTGGTTACCACCAAACAAATATACCTATTTAAATCTATATACATAGGTATAAATGAATTGTTGTTCATCAGTCTCGCAGTCTCGCTAAAACTCCAAAACGGCTGGACCGAATTGGCAAATTTTGGTCTTAAGTAATCATTTATGGAAGTTCAGGGAAGGTTGGACTCCGCTGGGTACGATAAAAATATCGATTGACACAGTACAAAGTCTGCCGGGTCAGCTGGCACTAAAATAATACTTTATTTCCTTTTCAATTTCTCCTTTGTTTTCTCCAACTCTTGATTATAAAAATACCATCTGCTCAACTGGTAAAAACTTGTCGAAGCAACAAATATATTGATACAACATAGAGGATAGTTTTTTGGTGTGATTATCGTACACCATCGTGCCCAAATGACACCGGTGACGCCAAGACTGAGGCACTGACGGACAGATATCGTTTCAGGCGGTCTGGTTAAGTCACCAATGCCAGCTAATACTAGAGTCTGAAAGTAATAAGAAGCTTATTTGTATTCTTTGAAATCGGATCTTCTTTATTATGGGATACAAGGCAAATGAACAGACGGATCTCCTGATGGAGCACCCATGGACATCACAACATCGGATCAGTTATAGGCGTTGCCGGTCATTTGGAACGAAGTACGTTCTTTTGATGAAGATCGTATCGGTCGTGCGTCTTCTGGACAACTGTTAAAATTACTTGCATCAAGTTCTGTGACTCTTCAGGTATGGTATCGGTAGGTTGGTACTGTTCGAATTGTAGTCTGCTCTTGGCGTCCTGGCGTTAGTAATGAAAATCTAATGGGGACAATGCCCAGAATCTCTTATTTCTATCAGCTAGGTTCTAGTGGATATTCCAAAGTTTACTTACGAATTTGCCAAGCGGTGCCCAAAAGAATATAGTATTAGGACCTAAAACGAAGAAATTCGATCTGTGTACCTAATTGTATCGACTCATAAACAAAATCGTTAGGTAAAGAATTACCTTAATTAAAGTTTACCTACCTATAGGATGGTTCCACAACGGCAATAAAGAGTTTGGCACTAATGGCTCTATGGTACTAATAATTTTCTTGTATAGCCATGACATTTTTTGTTTTTTATTATTTATTTAAGATGAATACCTATCATTCATCATTTTATCACAATAATTAATTTAACAATAAAATTGTAACTCTGCAAACATTGACTGCTGTTGATGATTGACATATCCCCTATTCTTATTAGACTCTTTGATTGACATATTTCATAGACTTTTTCCTTTTTGGTTATCGTCTCTTTCACATCGGAGAGCATCTAAGAAAAAAGTTTCAATGCCTACCTACGTACTTAGGCACATTTTCTATAAGCACTGAGTGGGTATTTTCAGTCTTTTATCCATTTATATCTAGAATTCTAAAACGACACTGCAAAGCACAACGAAACCAATGCTAACAAGCGACGAACAGCCTTCCAGAGAACACTTTATTGACGACTTACTTCTGGCATCTACTTCGCCCGTATTGTCGGGACAAAAATTATTTACATCTGTCATTTCAGATGAATCTATCAATATATTCTATTTACATTTTGCTGCTAACACAGCATAAATAAACGCATTTTCATTCTGTCTTTATTTAACTCTATACCGTACATCCAAATCAACTCAGTAGTTTTTAATTTTCTAAAGGCATACCCAGTTTTGGTAGGTAGGTACTATCACTACTATCATTAATCCAGATCTATGGATTTCCATCAATGGATGCAAAAGTGAACCCAAAACACTTTCTTGTGGCACACCGTATTTGAATAGTCGACCATAATCGTTAAAAATGTTGCACCGAAACAAGTCACGTGTATGTTCTGTGTCAGCTAGCAACATTGCACAATAATGCCTACCATCTCCTTTTATTATTACCAAAACTGAAATAAGTATGTGTAAGTACATTCAACTGTCTTCTATCTGTAAGTATTCGTACTGGAATCTTCCGATATCGAGAATTGATTCTATTTTCGTAATAGGTACAATCCAGACATCAAGTCTTAAGTCTATGAATTTATTGATTGTAGAAGCATCTTTTTTAACCGACTTCCCAAAAAAGGAGGATGTTATTAATTCGGCTGTATGTTTTTTTTCTTTTTTTTGTGTGTATATTACGCGGTTACGGTATGTTAATCCTTCCACAAAAGCAGGACGTTACTCTCGGGGTGGTCCCATTTCCACCAGGTCAGGATCTGATGATGGGATCACATGGAAACCAAGGGGAACTTATTAAAATTGTATGGGTGGCGATAGCGTTTGTTAACTTTTTGATGTAGTATTTTCGAAGAATCGCATAATTCTGAAGTACGTTTTCTGTCAAATTTCTTTGTTCCATTTTCAACTTCATCGTATTGGTATAAAGTCCAAAATCCAATTGTAGATTTCCACACGTTATATTCCCAATCACAATTAGTAGGTCACATTACCACTCCATTATGTATGTACAAACTTGTGTATAAGTACTTATTAAGAGTTACACTTATGTATTGTTACACAAATTAGACGAGATAACGCGTAAATAAGTGCCTTTATCAGTAATTTTGATAGTTCAATGGCCGTGAGTATTCCCGTATCAAAATATTCAGCGCCAAACACGCATTTCATAAAACAGCATAATCAATGCAGCCTTTTAGTTTTAACAAGTATACTTAATCTGAGATTGGCAAGAGCTTGTAAGTAGTTAAATCTTTCACCAGAAAGTTGTCTTACTCAATGAGTAAAATACTTAAACCAAGTTTCGCGCAGATAAAACGTAAATAATTTGTCGCAAGTTCTATACAGTTACTTCAATAATACAGTTATAAAATTAATCTAAGGACACTATTTCATTAAGAAACCATGGTTGCACAACCAGTAACAGTGGTGCCATTGTCCGCCATCTTGGATTTTGTGTTAAAGGAAAGACCAAAATGATAATCAGAGTTGTTTTGGTCGTTGTTTTACAAACAAGCTGACAAGTGAAGTACACAATTTATTGGTTGAATTTGGTTGCTCTACACTTGGGAGCGTAACCAACGGAGCCACTAGTGTTATATTTTTCATTTCATCGAACCTTCTATAACCTAAAAAGAACCTTTTACAACCAAATGCCATAATTGTAAAGGTAAATAGTCTTTTATACGACATACGTTGCCAATTAATAAAATACTTGTACTTACCAGAAAATTTGTCTCAAGAAATGAAAAAGATAAAACGCTATTGGCTCAGTTTCTTTTTTTTTAGGGGGGAAAATCATCAAATGATTTCTCTCGCTTGGGTGAGACGGAAGTTTATTTGCTCCCAAGTGCAGTTGTATGACCATAATGTGCTAATAAAATAGACCCCTTAGAATTTACACTTAACACTACAGTTAGTAAACACGACAGAAACAAATTAGTAATAAGAAAGTAAATAGAAACAAGAAATATTATGAAATATATATTTCCATAATCCAAAAGTAAAAGGTTTTACAAAAATAGACAAAAATCATTTACAAAATATGTGATTTAATAACGCCATGTTACAACATAGGACAATGATACAACAATACTATCTTTGTTTGGTTAACATCAACCACATTTCGTTTTATTATCACAGTTAAGAAAATGGTTTAATCAGAACTCTAGCACCAATACATCTTCATTTAGATAAGATAACAGACAGTATGTATGAATTTTGTCACAGAGCAAAACGTTACTAGATTCTGTTAAAAATTGGCAACACCATTTTGGATTCTTACGCTGGAACAAATAATTTTGGGCGTATTTTTTTCTTTTTAATTGTGGCGGATCCAGAAAATTAGAGGGCATGGGCTTATAAAATAATGCGAGTTTTTTCATCGACTAAATCGTATACCGAAATCGTTAGCAGAACATTCGATATGTTGTATCAAAAATCATGCAACAGGCAGTATTCTCCCAAAGCCATTTTTCAAAGTCCCGCTTAAACCTGTATCCGCCATCTAGTGGCACAAGAATCAACCTTTCTTTTAGTTTTTTTTACGCATTCAGCTATAATGCATTTACAAAATAGTTACAGAATCTTAGGCCCGATTTGAAACTTGGAAAGCCAAGTTCAATGGTCGTTAAGTTACTTCTCTCAAGTTACATTATTCAAATGTAACTGTTGCAAGTCTCAAACTATTTTGAACGTAACGGTTTCTACTACTGCATTCTGTAACTGCTTAAACATTACTGCAAAAATCTTATACAACCACATTTATACTAAAATTGTGCTTACTATCTTTAATCGTAATCTAAAAATCAATAATCTTATTCTACAATCTACAATCCCCCAACTAAAATATAATCAATAAATAATTTTATGATAGTCATTAATACCCATCTCTAAAATTGCAATTGCACTGCTATTATTAACAATAAAAAATTGTCAATGTTTTAGAAGACTATCATAGAATAAAAAGCATTCATTTATTCACTTAGAAACTAGTAAAATTACTATTCAAGCTACAGGCTAAAAGTAACATCCCGTAACTATCGACCAAACCAAATTCCTAAAGTGATTTTGTGTCTATAAATATATGGACACAGATTAAATAATCACTGTTCTTCTTTCTGTGCCCCTTTTTGTGCTTCCAATTCTGAGTGGTACTTGTATGCTCTGATTAATTGGTACGAACTAGTTAACGCTACAAACACATTTACAGCAAAAAGACTGTAGTTTTTAGGTATTATAACTAGAGAGTATCGTGACCAGACCAAGCCCGTGGCCGCTAGAGACGCGGACTGGCGGATAGACAAGTTCTCGACTGGCCGTGTCAAGTCACCCAACCCAGCTATCACCAAACTCTGAAAGTGATAATGAAGTGATGAGTCAAGGCCATTCACTTTGTTGTGAATATAACTGACTTCTATTTGAGATAGTTTCTTGGACTACTTGATACATAGTAGCTAAACTTTAACAATACAATGCAATTTAAACCTTATTGCAATATAGTAAAGTCTCGTTATGGTTTGTTTTATGATTTGCATGTTTTAATTATTATTTTCCCATTTTAGGTAATTAGTTTTTATGGAGGTGATTTTATGTCTCCAAATTAATGTGTGTTTACCATGTAAGTTACTTTCACACATAATCATGCTCCAGTAAGAAGTCAGTTATATTAAGACGGACCAATAACCAAATGAATGAAGTATTAGAATGAATACATTTTCACAATCACAAAAGAGGTTAAAATAGAAGTAAGTAAGAAACCTCATGAAGTACAATGGAACAAGTTATCAACACCGAACCTACATTATGAAAAAAACCCTAATTTTTTTTATTTATACAGGTGGTTTATTGAAGTATTATTAGGTAGTTATAATCCTGTTATTAATAAACCATCCTATACATTCACAGTAAAAAAAAAACAATTATCATGAATGCTTGTTGATTAAATATTTATTTTTTAGAATTGCAGTTCACCTTGCAATACTAGGCCAACATTTTCCTGGTTTATATCATAGGCCTTGTTGTTACCTCTTTTGATTATGTATCTGTGAGTCTGACTGGTAATTCTAACTCATAACATACTATCTCTCTTGTTATTTTCTTAAAAGATTTAGGAAAATTGTAGGTCAAGTCTACCTACCTGTTATCATAATTATTAAAACCTAGTGTTTTATGAGACCCATAGCCATAATATTTTGAAACCCTTAAAATAAATGTCATAATGTCTTTGCATGCATTCAAACTATGATTTCACAATGTTATAAGGCTTATCATTTTATCTGTGAAAACATGCATGAACTTGGATATTATCTGTGGCAATAAATTTTTCTTTTATCTATCAACTGTCTAGTCTAGAGCCAATGTTGTTAAAAAATTAGTTGATTGCAACTTTATGTAATCACTAATAATTTTGTTTTTATTATTTTCGATAGACTTGTTTTTCATTAATTAAATTTTCATTTTGGCACACCTTGATTTTATCAAGGTGTGCCAAAATGAAAATTTTGTCATGCAATTATGCAAATGTATAAATAAGTATGATGTACATTATAGATTCTCATTGTAATGAGGAAATTAATTTATTGGAATGGATAAAATGTGTTTAGACTTTACATTAAACCTCCAAAATGTTTTTTTTTCTAAATAAGTACCTAAACATTTTCACTTGGTAGTTGTTTGTTTGTATTGCTAAATGCTAATATTAGGGGACAGCAATTAGCAAATCTGGTCAATATTCCTAACATTTATATTAAAATTGATATATCTGCGCAACAAATTTGCCCTTACGCAAGGTCTTTTCAGTATAAATAGTATGACCTTGATTTTACGTCCGCATTACTTACCCATTTGCATGCAGGCGCCCAGAAGAATATTGTTTTTGGTCCTGAAATTAAAAAACCCAGTGTGAACAAACCTCTTTTTACATCAAATAGATGTTATAGATCATATTCATAATTACCAGCTGGATGTTCCCACATTGGACGCATGGCACCAGGGACAAATCTGTCCGCAACGCCGACAATCATCTTGTATACTTTTGACATTTTTGCGGAGTTTTCAATTTAAGATAAAGGTCAAAATGTTCCACGTAGGACACGGAACGGCCGAAATTGGGAAGGGAGATAGTTACGGTGTTACTTTGGTTAACTAAATTTACATGGCACCACTATTAACAGCAGCCAACTAAGGCGATTAATGCTATGAAAAAGTTCGTGCGTTTGATAAGATAACATGAACGTCAGGGAGTGTCAAACAAAATTACAACGTCAACGGTCAAAGTCAGCGTAAACACAACTGTCATTAACCACACAATGTGACCAATGTGGAATAGAAATGCCCTTGGAGTAGGTTATACTTTTCTTAGGTCATTAAGTGTCGTTATAGTACGAATAATATTAATCAAGAATACAATATTATATTTTCAAAATTATTTACGGAACGATGCATTTTTTAAGGAAACGTTGCGTTCAGAGCAAAGAGTAAAGTAACTAGTAATTTTATGTAAATTCATAGATATTGTCTCCACGAAATTATTAATTATTAAAACCAATTATCATAATTACAAAAACACGGACACTATTTATGTATGTTTTGTAATGATGAAAAATGTTTATGAATTAGTAATATATTACTTTTGTTTGTATTAAATATGAACGCAACTTTACTTAATTTTTTTTTACAAACAAACATGGGTGCGGATGTGCGTGTGATAATATGTGTCAACGCTCAAGAATTTCTGTTTCTTTGTTTATTTTAACTAGATCTTATTTTAGTATTCTACTTCTTTGAACTTTTGTTTATATTAAGTGTTGTGGACGTCTACTGACTTATGTTTTGTGTGGTTTAAATTTCGTTACTAATATGGGTACGAGCACAATGGGAAGCGATTTGCATTCTGATAAGCAGGACAAATTGCTCAAGCTGCAAGCTCGAAAGAAGGAATTAGAGCAGCTCCTGGCAGCAAAAAACGAGGAGCTATATAAATTATGTGTTCAAGAAGTGCAGTTAACTGGCATTATGCCCCCAGAAGCGCCCCTAAGCCCCGAAGTGCCTCAAAGAGAAAGATTAGGAAGTGTCAAAAGTGTTGATAGGTCAACAGACGGTGCGGACGTACAAGATGGGTCTGATAACTCATCAAGACGCCTCAGAGCCGCCACAGGAGACCGTTCGATGGAGACAGACGCGAACTTGCGTAAAAATCTATCTCACAGATTATCTACACCATCGATATCGGGTATTTCAACTAAAAGCGCACATTCAAGACATGTTCGACGTCCAGAAACTAGTTGTTCTAACTTTTTTCCTTCACCTCCACAAGAGAGGAACACAGATACATTTTCAATACATACTTCTCATACATACCCAGCACTGGCTGGTCGACATGAAGCAATGAATGAGAACCTTCAAAACGACATGCAACCAGGCACTATGTACAGACACCATACCATGACAACTGACTATATGAACAAGATTTACTATAACAATACTCCAGAGGCTCATAATGTATCTAAATTACGAGAAACTCATTTCAGTTCTAGCCATCCCGATATAACTACACATTATACTCATGGAAGTATAGCACCACAACCAGTACAAAATGGGATGCGCAACACACCACTACTATACCAGTATGCATCACATTTGAAAGCCCAGAGTCAGCACTTGACAGGATTAGCTCACCAGCATCAGATGCAGCAATCTAAACGCCGCACAGATGGTGCTCGGAGAAACACTTTACAGAGAACCCAGACTTACCATTTAACCTCACACAGTGAATATAACCAGTTGCACTTAGAAAATATGAAGCATGAACCACCAATGCTTGTGTATCAGCAACGATCACAGCCTGATATTCAGGAACAGCACCAACTGCCCATAGAAAGAACTGTAGTAGTGCCAAACACACTTCCTCTACGAGAACATAATGCTATCAAACATCCTATGCACATGCAGCTTCAAGTGTCCACTGATGACTATATGAGAGAAGACAGACGACACTACCCAGACCAGTTGACCCCAGTTAGTACAAAATCTTATAATTATGAACCAATGGGCATGAAGTTCTCGCCACTGTCTCAGGCAGACATGAAAGTTAAAGAGAAACAGTGGTATGAGACTTCATTGGACTCCCCAACGAAACCTGAAGCACCTCTTCTGAAAAAGAGCTCTAGCTTAAAGCGGACTTCAAGTGTTGGGAACTCGCAGGCTTATGAAATCATGATCTCCACTGGCCGACACTCTGCCATGCAAAGTCCTAATCAAATTCCACAGAGTCCACCAGTTTTATCTCCTGGAGCAGTTTCTTTAGAGTCTCCAAAGAACCTTACAGTGATTGAACAAGGGAAATGTATACCATACAGAGAAGAGACTAAACCTTTTGAAATGTCTGATTTTTACAAATATTCTACAAAGTTCAGACAAAATAATGTTCAAAAAAGTGCCCCAAATAATCCAGGGCCAAGTTTAAATTCAGGGTATAACAAGTTGCCTATGGAGTTGCCACAATATGCTCAAGACCATTGGCATGGACAAACAAATTGAATATTTTTCTAAATAATCTGTAAATTGTAATGTTAGTCTAATATCTATTAACTTATTTGACTGGAATTGGTGTGAGAATTTATAATAGTTTTAAAACTTAGCTCATAATATGGTACTTATAACTGTTATCTTCATATTTAAAGTGGGAAAATAATGTCTGTTTGTTGGAATTAATCATTAATATTGTGTGAAACACAAACAAAAAGCGAGGAAAAATAAAATAAACTATATAGATCTATTTTACTAGATTATTGTGATGAAATGACAATGATGATGGAGCCAGAATTTACAATATTGATAAGATTATCGCTGTGATAACAATGTGCAAATTGTTCATTTGTATTGTGACAATAAAGACACTGCATAATAAATCATGTGGTGTTTTGACATCTGAATGTTATGTTTGTAGAAATATGAGAATCGTGACTAACTATGATCCTGATCTCGTTTGATTGCCGTTTGACTTAGTTAAAGTACAAGCCCAAGTATTACCACTTGTTGCAATTTGCCGTAATTTTTAAGTATTTTCATTGCTTTGCCCACCGCTTCTAGGTTACAAACTCAAGTTTCATTTAACATGGCCGCTTTTGTGATAATAACTACTTAGGAATAATAATTTCAAGACTCAATTTTCTGTGTAAATGTTAAAAAAGTAGAATTTGAAATTAAAACTTTGAAAATTTTTGATGTTGATGTTGATCAATGCATAAGATAATAATTGTTAACTGTTTTTCTATACACTTAAAGACTTATTAACTTGCCAAGCAATATTTAGACTTATTGCCAATGTCTTCGTCCAGTAACAAAAACTATTTGGTAGCTAATTTCACTAAAACATTTGTAAATATAATTTAGTATTTAGTATAGTTTTTAGCAAGTCAACAGTGAGAGCACTGAACATTTTAAAAATATTTTTATAAAGTGCCTATGCGAGCATCTTGTGCATATAGCACACTCTATGTAGATCTTAAATAAAATAAAGTTTTATAGCAAATATTGTATTTTATTTTGTTCTGATAATTTTGTAAAGTGGCCCACGTACTAGGCTTTTCTCCCGTGTCATGGCATACCTGTACCTGAAATAACAATTTTGCAGTTCTATGCGGGTATCGAACTCAACACGTTGCACACAAACCGGCGATTTTGGTTAAGTGGCCGGTTCCGCCAACCGTCACATTCAAATTATTACAGAAAATTAATAAATGATATTACGATGTTAAAACATAAATAAGAGGTATGCCAAGATCGTTAGCTATTTTATTATAATAGTTGGAATCTGAACTACGCATGAAATTTACAAAAGGATTAACAATGTGAACAAGAATTCTTATAAGAATTTGATGGCGTGTACATTCCATACATTCCACGTTACTCGTTGGCATTCCATGAAGCGCGGGCGATGCGTTTATGGATGACAAATTTTTCAGGTTGAGTTCGTTCGATGCTCGCCCCTCTAACGACATTTTTGTTAATTTAAAAGGCTTTACAATTATTAACCCGTCGTGTGTCTAAACGTTGGTCCAGTCGCGGAGAACCTAACGGGTAACTGGGGCTCCGGCTCGACGTGCAGGAGAAGGATCGGGGTGGTTTTTAGTCAGTAAGAGTCTGACACTCCCTGCCGCCTCACCTAGGCGGGAGCAGTCATTCGATGATTTCCACCCTTGAAAAAAAAAAAAACGTTGGTCCACGTGAGACACAATGTATTATCTATTGTGTCTCAAGCGGTAAAAAGCAATATCTACCTACATAATTGTAAAATGTGTAGGTACCTGACCTAGATATATTTAGGTTTTCGAAATAATGCGAGGTCTAAGATTGTGGGTAGTGTAAAAAATAAACCAACAGATGATTTTGTAATACAGTTTATTGAAGCATAAATAAATTATTATTACAAGTGATGAGAGGAGTTAACCCTTGACCATAAGCCTCTAAAGAACAAATAAAATAAAACGACACTAATAAAATAATCAAAATAAGTACAAAACTAAGAAAATACTAGCGAGCAATGTGTTTTAGGAACTTATACGTGGTGTCCGGATTTCTTCAGCTTTTCTAGCAGACTGTGCAAAGATCTTTTGCCAGGATTAAAACCGCCATTCAGGTAATCGTCGTCGTTGCCTGAAATTAAATTGTAAGTAGTTATAACTAGGTACAAAGAGAAGTCTTATTGGAAGTGCATAGAACTAGGTAGCTACCTAAAATTATCTTTAGTCATTTATTACCAACTTAGATAAAATACTTAGGTACTTAGATCATCGACGTTTTACCCTAGTAGTACCTACCTATTCCGTAGCAAAAATATTTTTGAAGGTTTCAATCGGTCTTCGTACTTAAGTCTTGTTTTTGTAAGGTAGGATGACTAACGCCTCGGATACCTAAGTGACTGTTCTCCAATACTTACCGGCTCCATTAAGTTGTCCATTGATGCACCCTTCGTCCCACATGTTGACACATCGCTTGCCAGGGTTGAAGCCGCCGTTCAAATAGTTGTCATCATTGCCTGTAACACATAAAAAGATGGAGTCGCGGAGGACTTAATTGTTGCTGGAGCTACGGCTCGAAGGGCAGGACTAGGAACGGGGTGGTTTTTAGTCAGTAAGAGTCTGACACTCCCTGCCGCCTCACCTAGGCGGGAGCAGTCATTCGATAATTTTCCCCCCTTAAAAAACACATAAAAAGACAGATAAGCTGAAAAATTGACTAAATCTTTCGTAGGTAGGTACTGCATCTGGGCTACCGGCTGGCGTACAACGTGTTGCACCGGGTTATATTTCCATACTGAAAATTTCACTGCGTGGCTCACAAATTGTTGTGCATACCTACGTAAGTTTTTTTATGGGATAAACCGATAAACTGCTGACGGATCACCTTATGATAAGCAATCGGGGTCGCCCATAGACACCTGGACAACCAGAGACTTTACGTAAATGCGTTACCTTTGGGCCTTTTGGGGATTAAAAAATATTTGAGGATATTAGTGAGATTGGGAGGGGGGTAATAGGGCGTCCGGTAACCTCACTCAAATAACGAAAGACAACACAAGCGTTGTTTCACGTCGGTCTTCTGTAAGGATGTGGTATCACTCCGTTCGGGCTGGCCCATTCGTGCCACTGTCAAAGCATGGCTCTCCTACACTTTATTATCTATGTGTTTGTAAACGCACCTGCGATACCTACAGATGGACACGTTAGTACGTGGCAATATGATTAAGTGAATCTTGTAGTGCACCCTGGCCTCGTTAATTTAGGTAGGTAGGTACCTACGTACTCTATTCTCTTATTTTCTAAGCGAATTTGTTAATATTTTAAACAGGATAAGTAATATTGTCTGAAAATAACAATAGAATTATTAAATTCGGTGCAGTCATTATCAGAATGTGCATTTGCGTACGTATAATCGTCGAAATGGACTTAGATACCTATTTCGATGATTATTTTTATTTACATACACATTGATAGAGACAAATATTTGGATACTTAACAATTACATCATTATAATATTATTATATCCATCGAGAAACGTCGTTTTGAATATTGTGCACAAGTTGTACAATGAAATGGATACTAAACGATTTTTAGGCCCCGCAATAGGGTTTTTTTTTTAAATCGCGGCGATATCTATCAAAATCTAAATCTATTATAAATAGGTGGTCACTACTAAGCAGTTTTGGCATAAAGTCCACTACCCTAAATCCACTTATTATCCACCTACTAATTGTTAATTCAAAAGTTTGGGTCTACACTAGGACTTATTGCAGTAGCACTAGGATTTATTGCAGTATGAATTATTGCAGTATCAATTATTGCAGTAGCAATAAGTCCTAGCCACGTAATCGTAGGTGTGTTCATCGATAACTACAATTAGTGGATTATAGAGGTATTAGCCAATTCTTTGAAAGGAATCTCACTAACGATAGCGCACTACTGACGGTTGCCCAGTCACTGCAACTACTCCGTAGTTAAACTTACCAGCACCATTAAGTTGTCCATTGATGCATCCTTCGTCCCACATGTTGACACATCGCTTGCCGGGGTTGAAGCCGCCGTTTAGATAGTTATCGTCATTGCCTAGCGAAGAAGCAAATTAAAAGGAGTTTTAGGGTAATAGTGTCTTCTTTGAGTGTTTTTTGCTTCTGTGGATACTTGCCAGCTCCATTAAGTTGTCCATTGATACATCCTTCGTCCCACATGTTGACGCATCGTTTACCAGGGTTGAAACCACCATTCAGGTAGTCGTCATCATTCCCTGAATAAAATGACAAGTAAATATTAAAATTGGGCATCATATGGTTCAAGGTGTCTAAAAGTTTATTATTTTTGACCTTACGTACCAGCACCGTTTAGTTGTCCATTGATGCAGCCTTCATCCCACATGTTAACGCATCGCTGACCGGCTGAAAATTAAACATTACGTAGGTACATTGCAGATCTATCTATTAAAGAAGCAATATACATATAATGTTACAAAAAACCCGCTTCTATAATTCCTCAGGTGTTCTGGACATCTATGGGCGGCATTAATCGCTTATCATAAGGTTGCCGCGTTTGCTCTGCGTCGCGCCATAAAAATGTTCAATTTATAAAAAGAACAATGAAACAAGGAACAAATCGTTGGTAAACTTACATCTGTGGAGGGCAGAGTGCGTGCCCAAAGTTTTGCAATAAACTATGGAAATTACACTGCAGAGCACAATAAATGCCTTCATTTCGGTAGGCAAGCTGTTCTGTCGTCCCGTTAATGGTTTTCCGAATGACAAATTGTAGTAATTTCGTATATTTTCCACGCTTTTATAAAGGGGTCGCCACTCGAAAAATTAATTAGCCAGAGATGGTATCGCCCACTTATGATATAGGAATTAATATTGCATTCCCAATGGTTTCGGTGTGGGTTTTGGATTTTAATTATTATTATCGGAGATTAAACTGATGATAGAGTTTTCATGGGCGTATTTTCATTGATAGCAGTTCAGTACGTTATAGGTAAGTATAGATAGGTATAGGTAGTTCTACTACCTAGTTTCATGATCATTTCTTTTACCGCCATCTTCATTGGTTTGGACAAATTAAATAAAAGAAAATCGTTTAAAATTCCCAGCAGCTAAAATTGGAGTTCGGATAACTTAGGGATAAATTTAAAACTGGATAAGCCAGATTAGATATCCCAATTCATGAGAAAAAAATATGGAAATTTCAAGGATAAATAAACGCAGTGTGAGAATAATAACACAAATGCGTATAGTCATCCTACCTTATTTATTATTATCCAGCACGTGACATTTACCTATTTATAATTATTGAAAATCATTTAGACATTGCTGTTGTTTGTTAATTAACCAATCAATAAGCAATTATGACATAGTGAATACTAATTATAGGCTTATTGTATCATGATGCCAATGACTCAGCAAGGCAACGCACCTGTGACTCCTCTGGTGTTGCGGGTGTCCATGGGTGGCGCTGATCGCTTACCATCAGGTGATCCGTCTGCTCGTTTGCCTCCTATTTCATAAAAAAAGATTCAACAATTTTGATAGAATCTAAAAGTCTAAAGTTTAAAGTTTTTACATAGGTAATAGTTACATGAGTTCTGTTTTTAGCCGACCTCAAAAAATAATGGTTTCAGTTTGACTTGTATGTTTAGGTCTGTGCGCCAATATCTCGCGATTGACTGAACTGATTTGGATGCGGTTTTTAATATGTGTTTGTCACATTTAGAAGAAGGTTTTATTAATCAACAGACAATTTAAAAAACAGAGGCGATTGAAGTCCGTTTTTTTAACCGTAGTTTATAAAAGTATATTGTTGTCAATGTTAAATCTGCTTCAGACAAGGTTTTTGTCCCGAGTGTATTTACAAATCTACAAATCACATCGAAAATCCGAAAACAATAGTGTGTGAATCACACAAAGAATTATTTAGTGTAAGAATCGAATCCGTGACCAGTTGCGCAATAGTCACTGCAATTAGTCTTATGTAACTAAATCAAATCTATACTAAGGTTATAAAGCTGAAGAGTTTGTTTTTTTTGTTTGAACGCCCTAATCTCCGAAACTACTGATCCGATTTGAAAAATTCTTTCTGTGTTAGATAGCCCATTTATCGCGGAAGGCTATAGGCTATAAAATGTCATGCTACGATTAATAGGCGCCGAGCGGAGCGAGTGAAACCGCGCGGAAGTAGCTAGTGTTATTTATTGAATAGACGACATAGGTTAATATTGCATATCATTTTACCAGTTTTAACAGATTCATCGCCAAAAAGGGTCAGTATTCAATTTTGTCGAATGTACTTAATGTTCTAAGAAATATCATTAAGATAATAAAAATGGTCTAATAGCATCGAACAAAGGACAATTATTGAGCCAACAGTTTGTTTAGAAGATAACGGTTGCAATATATAACCCGTTCCCTAAATTTAAAAGTCATTAGTTAAGTTCATTTAGTGTATTGGCCCTTGCGTAGTTACGACACACAAATATGGCATTAAAAACAAGTTTAAATTATTATTAAAGTTATTTCTCTGATCAAAAATATACGAAAAATGGAGAAAATAATCTGCCTTTTGTTTTGTACTGTTGTAACTTTGTGCTCTTGTGAGGCTTATAAGATTTTGGCTGTTCTTCCGATTCCAAGTCCTAGCCACGGCATCCTTGGAGACAATCTGGTTAGACATCTTCTGGACGCTGGACATGAAGTAAGTAATTCTTCTGTTTCTCTTGGTGTTACTTCATCAGCTTTTTAAATTCGTCTTTGTTATTGGCAAGGCGGATAAGTTGTTCTAAATAGAAGATACCAGTCCACTTCCAGTTAACTTTGCACTTCATTAAGCAGAGTCATTAATTCTTGGCTTTAAAGTCCAATCGATCTAAAGTCTAAGTGAGAAAACGTTTTTCGGTCCATTTACATCCTTAATTCTTATGTCCATTTGTATGCATTGTTCCTACTATTGTTCATACTACGTATTGATCCTAACATTTTCATCTTTCTTGGAAGCACTCTTTATTCTCCTTTTTGCATATCCCTGCATTCAGATCTGTACAAAACAACCGGTGTAACAAAAGATTTGTAGGTTAATCCTTTAGTTCAAGCAGTTAATTCTGTCCTTGATAATACGATAGTTGACAGGTAGTCAAATTCAATACTTTTCTTGAATGCCAAAAACGATACTTTTCGATGAATTTTGTATTGGATCGCTACTTATGACGTCATCATATTTCTGCGTCAAACAGCGTACCTACTTATTTCCTTAAAATTTGCGAGTAAAAATCCAAAACTAGGTAAATTGACAAATCAATGGATGAGAGTATGATTATTTTGTAATTATTTATTGCATTTAAAAGTTGGAACAATTTATTTTAAGCCTAGGAAACTAGCCAATTATTAATGGATATAGGTGTAGAGCTGTCGATGTAGTGTGTGTAAGGAGTAAGATACGGCCTTTGTCCAGCAGTGGACATCTTCCGGCTGCTAATGATATTAAATCATGTAATAAACCATTTTAATAATTAGATTGCATTTAGTAAATAAGAACACAGTTTATCACCTTCATTCTCAGCAAACAATTCACATGTTTCTACAATCACATTTATTTGGCAAGCAGTTTAACCACTGAAGTTTTAAAGGTTCCCCGGAACAATTCTATTAGATGGCTATAGGTATATAAAGTCCTTGTTTTGTATTGTAACGCATTTCATAGAAACAAAGAACGGGAGTTCATAGACAGAAATAACGTAACTAAACAAATATCATTAGCATATCTGTAAAGTTAATTACTAAAGTACTGAGAACATTGCGTTACAGTTAGATGATATCGTTAAATATCACTACATAGTATAAAACAAAGTTGCTTTCTCTGTCCCTATGTCCCTTTGTATGCTTAAATCTTTGAAACTACGCAACGGATTTTGATGCGGTTTTTTTAATAGATAGAATGATTTAAGAGGAAGGTTTATATGTATAATACATGCATATTGCACCGAAGCCGGGGCGGGTCGCTAGTAATAATTAAATCATTGTGCTTTGTGTCTTTCGACTACCTAATCTTAACTGTTTATAGTTGGTTTTTGCAAATCAGCAGGATATTAATTTCGGGCCTGCGTTCGTTCTAAAACTGCGATTAGCTACTAAGGGATGGACAGGAGTATTTTGTAAAATTAGTGATTAATATTCGCGATCGATCGATATTCGCGTCTGTCAAGCTTGGGGATGATAGTATCCCCTTGCTTAAGAGGCATAGACTGCACAGTTGGTGCGGTGGCTGGGCAACCGGCTGCCGTGCAACGTGTCGCGGGTTCGATTCCCGCCCGGAACAACACTTTGTGTGATCCACAAATTGTTGTTTCGGGTCTGGGTGTCATCTGTATGTGAACTTGTATGTTTGTAAACGCACCCACGACACAGGAGACAATCCTAGTGTGGGGCAACGTTAAAAAAAAGAAGTATAGTAGTATAGCAGATGATGTTCGTAAAAAAATTCTTTTTTCTTTTAATTACAGGTAACTTATGTAACGCCATTCACGAGCAAACAGAAGAACCACACAAACTTACATATAGTGGACGTGGATGCTAACCATGTAATATATGAGGGTAAGTTAAGTACTACCTTTTATTATAACACATAACATAACATCACGCCTTTAATCCCCGAAGGGGTAGGCAGAGGTGTATATTATGCCACTGTACAACGTAACACCCACTTTTCACTATTTATGTTATGATGTCCCATGTAATAGGGGGTGAGTCTATTGCTATATACCGGGCACATTTCCAGACTCCGTGCTACTACTGAGATTTTTAAAACCCCAGTAATACTTTGCCCGACCCGGGAATCGAACCGGAAACCCCTTGCTAGGTAGTCGCACTTGCGACCACTCGGCCAACGAGGCAGTCAAACAAAGAAACATTATTTATTATAATTAATGTGATGTTTCATGACTATAACACTTCGTAGAAAGCTTTATTCCAGTGAAACCAGTTGTGAATCATGGTTCATATTTTTGTGTATTTTTACAGATGGAGAAGACCAGCTAGATTTCCAGCAGATTCTGGACCATAGGTCAACCGTAGTTGACTCACCATTTTTGTTTTGGGTACTATCTAACGTTGCCGACATGACATTAAGCAATCCGAATGTCCAAAAATTGTTAAGGGATCCACAACAGAAGTTTGACGTCATTCTAGTCGAATACATATTCACCGATGTATTTTCAGCGTAAGTCACATTTTGGATTTTAATTAAGATCCCATTTCCTTATGAGAACCATTAGGATCTGGTTCGTAGGCGTCTTTCAAGTCTCATGGAGTGTCGCGGAGAACCTAACGGGTAACCGGGGCTCCGGCTCGACGTGCAAGAGAAGGAACGGGGTGGTTTTTAGTCAGTAAGAGTCTGACACTCCCTTTCGCCTCACCCAGGCGGGAGCAGTCATTCGATGATTTTCCCCCTTAAAAAAAAAAGTCCCATGGAGTAGATAGAAGTTACAGAACGCCGCCTCGTACATTCCTTCTTTTTTAAGCTTGCGTCATATTCGCGTGAATAAACTAATTATTATCACTTAAATATGTGATCAAACTTATGATAAGTAGAAATATTTTTTAATGTTTAATACGTCTTCTTTAATTATAATGAGGATGAGGTGATAGGTAGAAGATGATGAATGATTAAAGTTTGTCTAGACAAACTGATGTGATATTGTTGTCTTTGACTGCACGATTGGCGCGGTGACTGGGCAACTGGCTGCCACACAACGTATCGCGGGTTCAAATCCCGCACGGGACAACTCTTTATGTCATCGACAGATCGTTATTCTGGGTTTGGATGTCATAGTGTATGTGAACTTGTATGTTTGTAAACGCACCCACGACACAGGAGAAAATCCTAGTGTGGCCAACTTAAAAAAAACAAAATCAATGATGATGTTAATGTAATGTTTTAGGTTATCAGCGATTTACCAATGCCCTTTCATCTGGTTTTCAACTATTGGACCTCATTGGATGGTATTGAACCTAGTCCATGGTCCTTTGAATCCAGCTTATAATACTGACTTCCTTCAAGCTCGAGTTCCTCCCTTCCCGTTCTTGGGAAGAGTCGAAGAGCTGTGGACGCAGGTGAAAGGCTTGTACCGTCATAAATTGTGAGTAATTTGATCTTTACAATAACTGCATGGCTATCCTAAATAACTGCATGGCTATCTTTTTGTCCTGTGTAAAATCACAGAGGTCACCTTCAATCTCTGAAGAAACTGTTCAATTATTTTTCTAGCAGTCTTTATTATCTAATACGTTTTTGTTCACCATCACGTAAGATTAAGTACAACAGAATTCATTTGAGATCATTCTTCTTCTATTTAACACATGAGTTGTATGTTCCACCCATATATCCCCAAGCGGTCGCCGATGACCTCTCTCCTCTAACTACATTATAGACCTTATTTCCAATGTTTAGAGACTACTTTTGTATGAAAAAAATTAGAGGATGATTTTCATTAGGTTAAGCTAAGTGGTTCACTAATTTATTTTTTATTTCAGTGACTTTTATTACGAGGAAGAACGTATATATCAAAATCGGATAGTCCCTATTCTGCAGGAGCTGGGTAAACCAGTGCTAAATTTAAATACCATGAAATATAATGCATCATTACTGTTTGGAAATTCGCAAGTAGCACTTGGTGATGCAGTGCCATTGCCACCAAATTATAAGCATATAGGTGGCTTCCATGTTGATGAAGTAGCGAAGGCTTTACCGGAGGTAAGACATTTTGCTACAATATTAGTAAATATATATAGTTATAGTTTTGAAAAGCAACATAGTAATAAATAATCCCGCTTTGGTTGAGATCTTTTAAATCTGTTATTATAATTCACTAGCTTATGCCAGAGGCTTCGTCCGCATTCCTGTGGGATAAAAAGTTGCCTATGTGTTATTCCAGATCATAATCTACCCCTGTTCCAAATTTAATTTCGATCGCTTCAGCCGTTTTGACGGAAAAGAGTAACAAATAAAAAAAGAAACAAAAAAAACACACACACACACATACAGCTTCGCAAATTTTCGCATTTATAATATTACCTCATTACCTCTATAGTAGGATTTACAATGAAATGCTGTATGAAATATATTATCACAATTCTTTTAGTATATTTACAAATCAGTGATGTTAACAGGGAAATACGTCTCCAATATTTCATTATACATATCCACATTTATCATATCACGGGCTATCATTCCGACAAATTCCTATAAAACTGTATCCACCTGGTTTTATCCAAAAAGAGACGATTATGCGATATATCATTGCTTGAAGTGCTAATCAGTGGTAGTCACGATATAATCATGTAATTTTTCCAGAATTTGCAAAAGATTATGGATGAAGCAGAGTACGGTGTCATATACTTCAGCATGGGCTCCAATTTGAAGAGTAAGACTATGCCGAATGAACTGAAGAAAGGTCTGTTGAAGGTGTTCGGAGGACTGAAGCAGACTGTCTTGTGGAAGTTTGAGGAGAATCTATCGGATCGGCCCAAAAATGTTCATATCTTGCAATGGGCACCACAACAGAGCATATTGGGTAGGCATTTATGTAATTCGGGCGTGAAAAAAGTTTACTAACACTTAAGATATTGTGGTCGTTGATACTAAAGTGTTTTTTTTCCAGCTCATCCCAATGCGGTACTTTTCGTCACTCATGGTGGTCTCCTATCACTCACCGAAGCAGTCTACTTCGGCGTTCCAGTTATTGTTATTCCAGTCTTCTCAGACCAGTTCCTCAATGCAAACCAAGCTCAACATAAAGGAATTGGGGAACAAATTAAGCTTTCCTACAACTTAGATAAGGACCTGAAGGTCACTCTGAATAAAGTTCTTGGTGATCTTTCCAAGTAAGTAGTATTTAATTTTAATTTGCCTTAGCCAAGTTGATTTCCTTTATGTACTTTCTGTGGCGCAAAATCGTAGTTTGGATCTTAATCTAAGTGGTAACTTAAAAGAGTAGTTGTTAAGCTAATATTTTGTGTCAACAGATATACTGCCAGAGCAAAAAAAGTATCTGCAGCATATCGCGACAATCCAGTAAAACCTGGAAAGGAGTTTAACTTCTGGGTGGAGCACGTGGTGCGGACGCGCGGCGCTCCACATCTGCGGTCAGTGGCGCTACAAGTACCGCTGTACCAGCAAGCATACCTAGATCTTTTTGCTGTATTACTGGCAGCAGCTGTTGTTATAGTACTAGTAGTTAAGAAGATTGTATGCTTCCTTACGTCGAAGAGTAAGAAGCTGAAGAGGAATTGATTTACGTTTTAATGTCCAGCACTGGGCGTCTTTTAATAAAAGCTTTTTTAAGCGTGAATTCAACGATTGAAAATTGATCTAAAAATTGCCTTAACATGATAGACAGATTTATGGAAAGACTTGTGGAAAGTATTTATATTTTTGTGTGATTCACGCTCTAAGGCGGACTTTGCGACACCGTTAATAAATTATTATTACAAGGCGCAAGTTTATGCACATAATTTTGTTGCCATAAGTGATGAATGATAAATGTCCAAATGCTTAGATGTCACTTAATTTTGAGATGCGTTTATGTATAGTTCTGTCACTACAAATTCGTTCAATGTCGTGGTGGCTTGGAGACTTAAGACGCTCGCTTCTTATGCATGAGAATGCGGGTTCGAAACCTACCAACGGCAAGTGCCAATGTGACTTTTTGAAGAAAATATCGTGAGGAAACCTGGGCTTATAATTTCGAATCATAAGTTTGTAATCGCCAACCCGCATTGAGAAAGCGTGATGAATAATGCTCAAACCTTCTCCGTGTGAGTCGATGTCGAGAAGTCGAGGCTATCCTCAGCAATGGGCATTTATAGGCTGTTGATGATAAAATTCTTTGTAGAATAACAGACATGGGACGGCATTTAAGTAAATCTTTAAAATTGAGTAGCCTTTCTGTCGTTGGGCAAAGAGTGATAAACTATATATAAATTATTTCTAAACTATGTATGGTCAAAGGGCAAAAGTCCACTACCACCGTAAGACTACTATCGATTGCGCTGCATATACACATATGGACACGCATATTTTTATCTGTGTGCGTACACGTGCGTGTGTTTATGTATACGCACGCGTATTTAGGCACATTAATATAAAATTGCTTACACATTGCCGTGTGAACTTCACTCACGGTGGCAGTGGACTTTTGACCTTTGACTGTACAAATAAACTTGCCGTATGGTGACGGCAGAGTAGAATACATTTGTCACCACCCCTACTCTTCCCGCGGGTGTCGTAAGAGCCGACTAAGGGAGTAAACAGAGACACTACCTCTACAACCTGCTGACAAAGCTTGGAATTATAGCAATCTCCTTTTATGTAGAGGAACAATGCGATTATTTCCCAACTTTTCAACTTGTCAAATTCTTAACAGTTCTATCACCACCTTCTTTAGATGATCCATCATCATCAACATTAATATCAACATCATAATCACCGCATATCAATAGGCATTGGGCTTAGTTTTGGAAACAACATTAAATCGTAGTAGAATGATATCCATTGCAAAGGTAAGTGAATGTGCTTAAAAATACGGAAACTCAAAATACGGGTGATCTGAGGTCAAGAAAAAGATCGGTGGTTAGAAGAAAAAATAAGTTTATTGGGATTAGCGGAGGAACTTACAGGTCTCATAGAAAAATAATAGCAAAATTGTAGATACAAAAAAGATCAAAAATTATTGTATTACGACTTTTTATACATACCCACAAAATTTACACAAAAAATTCAAAATACTTACTAGTTTTTTTATTTTTATTTTTTTATTCTTTCTATTTTTTTTTTGCGATCATTCGTGGTGACATACTTTTTATGACCTTAAAACATACAGTTTTTGTTAAAAAAAATTTTTTTCCCTATTTTATTTACCTGATATGGAAAAGTAGTCTCATTTTCAGCTAAAAAATATCACGACATAATTTAAAACTTAAATAAATAACTAATGTGCTTCTTATTTGTTGAAATATCTATTTTTGGATAGTGTGAAAAATAAATTTCACCTTGCTTCATAGCATCCTTACAGAAAATGCAAAAAACCGAAAATATCGTGTCTGAAAGACCTTTATTTTCGGCCCTAAAAATAAGCGGCAGAATATTCAGTTTTTTAAGTAAAATCGGGTGTTTCTTATAACTCAAAAGCCGGAATTGGAAGCAAACGCTCGTAGTGTCCGGCAGAGGGCGCGTTGGGCTCGCAGCGCAAGTAGCAACACCGAGGCAAGCGCTAACGCCAGTCAGTAAGCTGCGCGAGGTCACCGCGAAGAACCCCTCTGTGGTTCGAAATTAGTAGAGTTTTTCTCAGTATATTTACGTGAGTAACCCTCGATTTTAGTTAATTTAGGCTTTATGATCTTTCAAACCTGTAAGAAAAGTAATATGCTCCTTTTTAAAAAGCTGGCAACGCACCGGTGACTCGTCTGGTATTGCGGGTGTCCATGGACGGCGCAGATCGCTTACCATCAGGTGATTACCAGCGTTTACCTCCACTTCCATAAAAAATATACGATTTTTTTATTTTTGTCATATTATGTGAAGATGCAATTAAGTAAGATGCAACTTATTTTTTACACTGTCTAAAAATAGACATTTCAACAAATAAGAAGCGAACCAGTTGTTTCCCTGACTTTTAAATCTTTATGTGAAATATTTTAGCGGCAAATGAGACTACTTTATCAATATTAGGCAAATGAAGGAGAGAAAAATTAATACGTTCAATAAGAAGAAAACTGCATGCTTCAAGTATTTAAAATGTCGCCACAAATGTTTGCAAAAAACAGAAAGAATGAGAAAGATCAAAATAAAAACCAAAGTATTTTAATGTTTTCGCGTAAATTTAGAGGATACGTAAAAAAAAGTCTAAACACAAAAGTTGTAGATCTGTTTTAGTATCTACAATTTTGCTATTGACATTTTAGCCGGCTCGACCGGAGTGATACCACGACCCAAAGACTACTATAGTATACTGGCTACCACGACCTCACAGAAGACCGACGTGAAACAACGTTGTGTTGTGTTTCGTCGTGTGAGTGAGGCTACCGGAAGCTCAATTACCCCCCTTCCCCCGCTTTCCCCAATCCCTGAATCCCCAACAATCCTCACCCAATCCAGAAGGTCGGTAAAGCACTTGTAACGCCTCTGGTGTTCCAGGTGTCCATGGGCGACGCTGATTGTTTACCATCAGGTGATCCGTCTGCTCGGTTACCGGCTTATTCCATAAAAAAGAATTTATTCTTTACCTCAGATCACCCGTAATTTATTTTTCCTTATTTTTGAGCCCATGCTCTTCCGTTTGTAATGGGTTTCATTCTACTAATATTTAATGTTGTTCCCAAAATGATCTGCACTAGCCTAATGTTGATGGAGGTTTCCTTCGTTTTATTCAGTAATTTCCCTAAAGTTCTCGCATCATCATCATCACCATTATCTGATGACATATAAGTCGTCATACATTTTGAACTGGTAAGAATTTGACCATCACCTTGGTGTAAAGTTAAGAAATAACCTCTCTTTTTAGTTTGATTCTTATTTCCTGGTACATGTACTAGCATAATTATATTGTGAACATAAAAATAAATAGGAGTCCTTGATAAAAGTAAATAAATTATTAATTATGTTACTTATTGTATTTTTATTTTCTATTTATTGTAATTAAACGTTCTCAATATTTTGAGGCAATCAGCCTATTGTTGAATATTTAAGGTGCATACTTAGAAAATTTTTAGTTAATCGGTTGAAGATATCTGTTTCAAAATATCAGGTATTGTGTCATAAGCATCCACTTCAGCAACGCACATAACACAGTAAGTATACTCTTCATACCTTGTTATAAATGGGTACTTCTATGATCCCCTGCGTTGCTATTTGAAAAAAAAAAACATAGCGATGATAATAATATTATCTAATTGACGCACTTTTTGTGTAAAAGATATCATCGGGATGATACTGTCAACAGCGATTTAGCAGTTTTTTTCGACACTAAAATGAGTCTTATTTTGTTTACTATAAAGTCCATTCAAATAAACCGCTTATCAGAGAAGAGTCCGTTAATGAAGATAACGGTTACAATATTTATATGTTAGTCAACTGATCACGCTGAAAGACAGACTCAATAGCGTAACCGATTATTGTGATACGACAAAGAATATTTCAAAAAGATTTAAAATTAATAGAAACTTTTTCAAAAATGGAGAAACTTAGATATCTTTTGTTTTTTGTGGTTCTAAGTTTGTGTACATGTGACGCTTACAAGATCTTGGTCGTGTTTTCGAACCCGAATCCCAGTCATGGCATACTCGGAGACAATATGGTTAAACATCTTCTTAGTGCTGGGCACGAAGTAAGTATGTCTTTGAAAAATTCATCCCTACACCGAACGGTTAACGGATTTTGTATAATAATATGTACCGTTTGTGTTATGGGGTATTTAAACCAGCTGGCCACTATCGTTGTAAGACTTCTCATTGAAGAGTGACTAGAGAGCTGCCACAGCGTCCCCACCTTACGCCTGGTCCAAGGATATTCATGAAAGCACCTGTTTCGGATGTTTCGGATTTGGTAGAAGGATATGCCTGCCTGTCTGTGTCATTGTGAGAATAACTCGAAAGACAAGATGGAACATACGGTGGAGGTGTGCTTCCCTTGTAGCTAAAACTTACCAAATGTCTATGTCTGTACAACGGTGTGCCTTCGCTTAAAAGGAATTTCTCCACATTTCCACTTGTGTGTGTGTGTATGTGTGTATGTGCTCGAGGATCTTAGTTAAATCGCCTAAAGTGAAACTATTACTGCATCCCTTGGCCGCCATTATTGGTCCACGCTCGCTTAAATTATAATTGGAGTAGGTATTACTCGTATTATTGAAATATTTTTTACTTATCAGGTACTAGCCACCCGCCCCGGCTTCGCACGGGTGCAATATGCATGTATTATACATACAAACCTTCCTTAAGAATCACTCTATCTATTAAAAAAAACCGCATCAAAATCTGTTGCGTAGTTTTAAAGATCTAAGCATACATACGGACATACAGCGAAAGCGACTTTGTTTTATACTATGTATTGATTACATATTCTAATTGTATAAATATAAATAATATTTAATGACTTAATCTGTTTACAAAAACCCGAGTGACAAGTTCGAACCTGTCTGAAATCGTTATGATGCTATCTTTTTGTTAATCATTATTATGATCACGGTAGTTGTTTGATTAGATAAATACATAAATCTAAGTCTAAATAGAGGTAGATTGTATCAGTTTTTGTAAAACATTTAAAGTTTGGAACTAAAATAAGTTAAACGAATGGAGTTTCTAGCTCGTTCTTCTCCACTCGAATCTACATTTTGGAACGAGCACCTAGCTTCACTGACGGACAGACTGATGGACTATTATTGGTTAATTATATTTGTTGATGATTGAATGCCTCGTTGGCCTAGTAGTCGCAAGTGCGACTGCCGGGCAAGGGGTCTTGGGTTCAATTCCTGGGTCGGGCAAAGTATTACTGTTTTCTTTTTAATTCTCAATAGTAGCACGGATATCTGATACGACCTTTGAACCTTCAAGAATAGAGCGTATTCCTTTTTAAAAGCCCGGCAACGCACCTGCGATTCCTCTGGTGTTGCGGGTGTCCAAGACCGGCGCTGATCGCTTACCATCAGGTGATCAGTCTACTCGTTTGCCTTCTATTCACAGTAGACAGTGGACAGTAATATTTATAATACTTTTTTCAGGTAACATACATAACACCGTACATAGAAACACTGAAGAATAAGACAAAAGCACATTTAGTGGACGTTGGTAACACCCATAAAATATTAGAAGGTTAGTCTCAGTCTCAGACCCGGACCAAAGTATTTAGATTCAATGTACCAGCAATATGGCAAATGACACTCACTCTAATACAATCTAAACTTTAAAAAATAAAGGATATAAATCTTACATTTTCAACAACATTTGACTGCCTTGTTGGCCGAGTAGTCGCAATTGCGACTGCCGTGCAAGGTGTCTCGGGTTCGATTCCCCGGTCGGGCAAAGTAATATTGGGTTTTAAAAAAAATCTTAGTAGTAGCACGGAGTCTGGAATTGTGCCCGGTATAATAATATGACAATAGGCTCACTCTCTATTACATGAGACTCGTAACATAAATAGTGAAAAGGGGGTGTTACATTGTACAGTGGTATAATGTGTACTTCTGCCTACCCCTTCGGGGATAAAAGGCGTGATGTTATGTTATGTTATTTTTAACAGTGGCAAAAGACATAATGGACTTGAAGCAGATTCTAGAAGGGACAGTGGAATCGCCGGACTTTAAACTCATGTTCGAACTTGTATCCACAATCGGTGATATGACACTTAGCAACGCGAATGTTCAAAAACTTTTGAGAGACCCAAAACAGAAGTTTGACGTCATTATTGCTGAATTCATGTTCAATGAATTGTTTTCCACGTAAGTTATCATAATGTTCAGTACCTACTTTATTACAAAAAATTAGGAACATATATTATGTAGAACTAGTTTGTGCCCGCAAATTCGTACGGGCAATCCCGTTTTCTCCTGGTCCCCTAGGATTTGCAGGTTTTTTTCGGTCATAAGAACCTTCTCCTGATCATAACAAAGGCATCAAAAAAAAAAAACAGCCAAATCGATCTAGCCGAGTTCCCAAGTTATGGCGTGACAACGGGAAACGGGAAACGAATGAAATATATAGATACAGCCGTTAATTTAGTGGAATGGGTGTTTATATTCACAGAACAAAAATCTGTTTCGTGGATATAGTGGTCACTTAAACACAAATCATTTTGAAGTTTGTTTTAAATATTTTTCATATTAGAAACAATTAAACAGTTACATAGTATTTTATCTTGTACAAGTGAGGTTACCGTAACTTCAAACCGCCCCAGGCCTTTCCTTAAAAGGCCGACAACACACTTTCTGGTGTTGCATATATTTATAGGTGCTGATTGCTTAGCACCCGGTGATCAATGTGCTTGTTTGACGACTATAAAAAGAAAAAGATATTTTTTATGGGATTAGCCGGTAAACGAGTAGACAGATCACCTGAGGGTAAGCAATCTGCGTCGCCCATAGACACCTGGAACACCAGAGGCGTTCCAAATGCGTTGCCGGCCTTTTGGGACTGTTGTGTAATCAGGGATCGGGGAGGGGAGGAAGGGGGGGAAATTGGGCCTCCGGTAATCTCACTCACACGACTAAAACAGAACGCAGACGTTGTTTCACGTCGATTAAGATGGGGTGTTGTGATGTTTCAGGTTCTCAGCAGTTTACCAGTGTCCTTACATCTGGTTCTCCACTATAGAACCAAATTGGATAGCTCTGCACTTGGTGAGCGATCCTATGAACCCTGCCTATAACAGTGACTATCTTCATGGTCGAATTCCTCCTTTCTCTTTTAAGGAAAGAGTTGAAGAGCTGTGGACGCAAATTAAAGGATTATATCATTATAATTTGTAAGTATACTTTGTAATTACTTTAGCAACTACCTATGTTCCTATGTACCTATGTGTACAGTTCTGATGAGGAAGTTCTAATGAGATTTCATGTCTGAAGTGAAGAAAACACACTTATAGAAACTCAGTCATTAATGCTATATTATTATTTTATTTTAGTGACTTCTACAATGCAGAAGAAGCTATATACCAAAAGCATGTAGTCCCTGTCCTAAAGGAGCAAGGAAAACCAGTTCCTGACTATAATATGCTAAAATATAATGCTTCGCTAATGTTGGGCAATACAAATGTGGCGATTGGTAACGCCATGCCACTGCCACCAAGCTACAAGCACATTGGAGGTTACCATATTGATGAAGAGGTCAAGCCATTACCGGAGGTGAGTAATAAAAAGTTGGCTTAAATAGAATAAACTTTATTATATAAATTAAGTAATTCTGGGAATCGATTGAAATTTTAATCAGTTTTACAATTCCTAGGATTTGAAGAAAATTATGGATAATGCCAATAATGGGGTGATATACTTCAGCATGGGTTCCAATTTAAAGAGCAAGGAGTTACCAGATGAACTGAAGAATGGTTTATTGGAGGTGTTAGGAGGACTGCAGCAGACAGTTCTGTGGAAGTTTGAGGAGAATCTACCGAACAAGCCTAAAAATGTCCATATCGTACAATGGGCACCGCAGCAGAGCATATTGGGTAGGCATTTAATAAATATAAAAAGGTTAAAGGTTAAAGATTCTGTACTCTGTGACATTAATTATGATTTTTCCTTCCAGCCCATCACAATTTAAAATTGTTCGTCACTCATGGTGGTCTCTTGTCACTCACTGAGGCGGTTCACTTCGGAGTTCCACTTATTGTCATTCCAGTTTTCGCAGACCAGTTCCTCAATGCAAACCAAGCTAGAAATAAGGGATTTGCAGAAAGAGTTGACCTTTCTTACAACTTAGATAAAAACCTGAAGGTTGCTTTGGACAAAGTTCTTGGTGATTTTTCCAAGTAAGTACATAGTTGCTGACGCATTAAATCTTTTACTGGTAGTTTAGTTTAAAAGCAGTTGCTTAGCGGGTTTTTATATTCACAGATACTCGGCTAGAGCAAAGGAGGTTTCTGCAGCATACCATGACAATCCGATGAAGCCGGGAGTAGCGTTGAACTTCTGGGTGGAGCACGTGGTGCGAACGCGCGGCGCCCCGCACCTGCGCTCAGTGGCGCTACAAGTGCCGCTGTACCAGCAAGCGTACCTAGATCTGTTAGCTGTAATACTGGCAGCTACTGTAGTTATATTACTAGTAGTTAGGAAAATTATAAGTTTATTAACTGTGAAGAACACAAAATTAAAGAAGAATTAAATGGATTAGCACAAAAAATTATAACCCTAACATGACGCTTTGCTATTAGATTACAGAAAAGAGATTTTTTGTATTTGTATTGCAATTAATATAGATTATAGTTATTTAAGTTGTTAGTAATAAAAATAATTTTTCAATATTTTAAGTTTTGTTTCTGTTAATTCTCTAATCTCAAGATTTTGAAACGAAGACAGTACAATTTCTACTATTGGTATTTCTACACTGTCGGTCTGTAAAAGTCAAAATAAAAATTAGGGAAGTTCATTATCGGATTACCGGATTTTTGATTTTGTGTATTACATCATAACCAGTTATGAAGGACCATATATTTATTTATGTAGCCTCTGTGTTCTATTCGGAGAATAAGAGCAGAGAAACCCATGAAGGTATTTCGGTAATTAACCGATTCGAGCATGTCAAATTAACATATGAGGAAGTTTCTCATATCTCGTAACCATTTATTTAACCAACCTTTTATTGGAAGCAAGTATAACAGCTCACACATAGGACCCATTTAGTTTTTTAGTCAAATTTCCGTGGTGCTTGGCGATTGGGCTTCACTTCATTCTGTCTCCTGCAGTAATTCACCGAGGGAAGTGGAAACTATCGTTTTTTCTTCTTCTCCTCTTATAATATCTTCTGATTCACTTCGTTGCGGGAACCAAGACAGTTACTCATGTCCCTGGGACGCGCCGGACTTCAATGTTCTGGTGTTTTCATGGTTGTTTCTACTGTAGATCCTGGCTTACAGGAGTTGCAGCGGTTTTGGGAGGCTGTGGCGGACTTGTCCCATAAAAAAAAATATCTTGTAACCACATTACTCACCTTATATTGAAGATAGAGGGGAGCTATAAAAAATATTAAATAAGTCTTACTAAACATGGTTAGTTTTGTCAAACGATTGCTTTTTAAATGCTAAAGATCCCTTGCTTGACGTCCATAGACCGGCGCTTGCAGCAGCTGCAGATCGGCCTACGATACCTTACGTGCTCGTACTCATGCGGCGACTAGGGCATGAAGAAGTATGTTTTCCTCCACGCTCTGCTTCCTTCTTAGCTAGCGCTGTTTCGCAGAAGGAGGGAACAGTTTTATAGCCGCCACTGTTGATCGTTTCCGTTAAGATATAGCGATACTCAACCCAAGCGGGGCCTACCTTCACTGTATGCTCCACCGGGTGCTCCGAGTGGTCCTCACCGACGACATACTGGACCTTACTCCAACTAAATCCTTTTGCAGGTCCGGAGAGCACCTGAGTCAGGCGGGAAGTGCCGATGCCGTGGTGACTATGCTCTAGCCACTTCTCAAAGAGGGTGTTACTCGGCAGAGTGGCTCTATCGCAGTTATTCAGCATCCTAGGTTTCCCTATAACGACTATAATTATCTAATCTACGTAATTTATTTGTAAAAGATACCATCAGGATGTTGGTCCACCAGTGATTAAGTGATTTTTTTATAGTCTGAGTAATGCATCTTATATTGCTTAATATAAGATCCATACATAAACTGCTGATGTCACTGTTTTTCGTGAAAGATTTTTTGATAAAAATAACGATTACAATAATTACAACACTAGCTGATGCCCGCGGCTTCTCTCGCGTGACTTACGGACATTGTGACTAATCAACGAAATATCAATCCCTATTCACCTCTGCACGTTTCTGAATATTTTAACTTGAAATATACATATAACGCAAGCTATTGACCTTTATTGATAAATTTTTCAAAACTTCTCAAAACTTATTAATTTGTTTACAATAGTTCAAATACGATGTTTCGTGTGTTATAGCTGATTCGAGTTCGGTGGTGATGAGTGATAAAGTCAGTCAGGACATGTTATAAATGTAGCCAATGTTGTTATCGTTCATTTTATAAGAATATTTATCCTACTGTCTCAAACAAATGTTTGCCTGCCTTAGCTTTGTTGACTGTTAGATACACCTTGCTTTTACCTTGTTCTTTGTAAAAGTTTGTTCGTAATGAGTTTAATGTTTGGGGTCGAAACACTTGGGCCATGGGGTCCCAGTGCACACTCTGTGTTTAAAGACATCGCCCGTAGGCTAATCGACTCTACACGTGACCAGAGGGCTGGCTTTTTCTTCGGACAGAAAATAAGCATTGCCATTCAACGTGGCAATGCTGCCAGTCTTCTGGGAACTTTCCCCTGTGATAGTGATGCGGACGAATACTTTGACGCCTAAATTAAGGGTATAATTTTTGTTGTTTTCTTTTACTTTCTTTTTT